TATTCCATGAACTTCACAGAACAGATTTGGCAGATGAACATCACTGAAAAATAATGCTTTACAACTTTTAGAAAAGTTACTAGCTTCAGGTACATGTATAAATACTATATGTTGCTCTGGAACGAAAAATAATCTCTACTGTATGTGTATTCTGTGAGTGCATAGATATATAGATACATATAGGTGGAGATGCGTGTGTGTGTGTGTGTGTGTGTGTGTGTATGCATGTAAAAAAGTAAATAATCATATACAGGTCATGTACAGAGAGGGTGCAAAAAGGAAAGTGTAGTAGTCCCTGCATGAAGTCAATGTGTGCTGTTCTTCCTCTAGGAAAACATGAGTATAAGATGAAGTGCTGGTGTAGCATTGGGCATGTATGAATACCTAGCTGCATTTTCTCTAGCCTTTCATTAATGCATACCAAGGAAAGTAACTCTTAAATCACAACAACAACCGTAGTTTTGATAAGTGTCAGCTAATTTGTAAGCTTTGCTGGGGGTGGTATATTTAAACAACCTTACAAGTGCAGAGGAGAAAAAAGCTCCACAGAGGAACACTATATCTGTTTGAATGAAATTGCCAGAAGGATTTTGTACAAGGAAGATGATTCACTTTTGTAACAGCTATTCCAGAATAAGTGGCAGAGATTTCAGTATTCTCTGCCCATCTATGGGTCTTTCTTGGGAACTGCAGCATTCATGTGTATGTGAGGTTAACTCTTTATAGTGTTAATTGCAGCAATACATCTTCAAGGTCAAACACTGTACAAGATTCTGAAGTGTTAGTCATTTATGTAAACAAGAATGGCTAGATGAGCTAAAATACAACTATTTTTCTGAAGAGCTTTACATTCCTATGTTCCAAAAATATCTTTATTTCCTCTTCTGTGAATTTTGTTTGCAGCTGTGGGAAAGTGCACTCAAAGTTGTCTTTGTACTTTTTTCTTCAAGCAGGCAGAAGTGTGCTAATTCTCATGTCCTATAAGAAAGAGTTTAAAGCTGTGTAACTGAGAGCCTTATTTACTATTCTTATTTCTTAGGTTTTCGAGATTGCAGCTGCTGAGGAAAGCTTTCACTGCAAAGAGAAAAATGTTGCTGAGATACCTTGAGCCATTTCTGTGGAGTGGAGCATCACGTGAGCTAATAAACTGGCTTTACAGTTTGTCTGAAATCAGTGAAATGGTGATGTCTTAAGTGAATATGTTCTTGGTGACTGCTGAAGAGGTACAGTTGTGTGTTCATGTAGCTGAGTGTAGTTTACTGCTAAAATGCTTATGTTTAAGGTAATCCAATGGAAAGATGCAGAGGAGGTGGTGGTAAGGTCAAGATAAGGGTTAGATAGATCTTTTGCATTCTTCTTGGATGTTGCTACAATAAAACTTTGCTTCATGAGGCTAAATCTAGAGCCTTAAGCCATACAGAAGTCCTCGAGCAGATGTCAGACCTGTCACCAGATGACAATCCTGTCCTGTGTGGCCACCCTTCTGGGTAAAGGCAGGAAGGTTAGGAACCCTTTGATGAAGGTGAAAACTGAAAAAGTGCAATTCTGTAACAAGAAATTAATTCTGCCTCTGCAGTGGTAATAATCCCTGTAAGGTTTGCTCAGCAGATACCAGCAGTGAATTGTCACAGATCTTGTGGAAAAATAAAAGGAGCTGAATATGTAACTGTGGAGAATGCTTCACTGCTTAAAAAATGATTGGTTGAAGTAGATTAATTTTGTTTTGTTTTGTTTTTTATTAAGGTTAATTATTACTGTGAAGATCCTCATTTTTATCCTCTGAATCCCTGAGAATAGTGTGTTATACTGTTTCTATACAAGTCAGAAAACATTCAGGTTTAAATTTGGTCCACAGTTCATAGCAATGGCCTTTCACATAAACAATGGCGTTACGTTACTTATTTTAAAGATGTTTTAGGTTTAGCCTTTTTGCATTTTATATATTTTTACCTGACCTGTTCTCTTCATGTTTACTGTCTCCTTCAGAGTAAAAACATAAGTCTTCTTGTTTACTGTCTCTCTCAGTTTGAATTACAAATTTGACCTGACATTAAGCTGTTCCTTTTGTATTGGAGGGAAAAAAATAAAAAATCTAAGTCATATGGTGTTATCCTTCACTTTCATTAGACCATCTAGACTTCTGGAGCTAGAGCTGGAAACTGTCAACATCTCTGGATGCAAAGCAAATAGACTTAGCTAAAAGGGAAGTTCAAGTGGGAGAATCATCCTGTAGAAAGTTTAGATCAGTTCAACACTGGAGGAAGGAAATAATGATCTGTCAGAAGAGTCCCATCCTGCCCAAAAGCCATAGCATTATATATCTAATGCTATTCCTTTAAAGATTAGACTCATATTCAAGATTTCAGTGTAAAACAGATTTTGGTTTTACTAAAGTTTATTTTTGGTTTGCTGTTTGCAAAGCTTATGTTCTAAGCAAGAGGAAGAGGCCAAGTCTCTCATATCAAGACCTTCATTAATTTAAGGAGGACCCGTTACTTCATTGTTACTCTCAGTAATAAAATTGATATGCATATGATTTTATGATAATTATAATACAAGTCAATTATAGGTCCTTCTAAACTGTACAGAATATAATGTGTTATCCACATAATTATGTTGATGACTGTGGTTGTGTACCTTTTCAAAAAGATTTTCTTGAATCAAGGTGGTAAAAAATAAAGTAGCACTGTCATGTCACAAAGCAGTTGAAATGCATTATGATTTGGACTTTCATGTAGGATTGTAAGCACTGAAAAAATTGAACTCACCAGTAATATTTATTCTTTACCCTTACAAGATTCCTCTCTGAAACTCTAAGGACTCACTGAAAAGTAAACTTGTGTCACATGGGAGTGAATATTCATTGCAAATAATGATCATTATATGAGTCTAGATTATTACTTGTCATTTTATGTTCTTGACAATTAGTGTATCTCATTTGAAATATTTATTTTTCCTTCTGGCTGAATTTCCCTACAAAACTGGAACAGTCGTCTTAAAAATTATGATCTCCCAGGCAAAATAAATTAAGTCTTGGAATTATGTCAAGACTTTTAACTGAAGACAAAGTTTCAAAACAATCTTTGTACAAAAATGAAACTCACTTTCTCCCTTTAACTGATCTTTCTACCTACTGCTTCTCTGGGTGTTTCTGTCTGTAAATCAAACATATGTTCTTTTTCTTGCTTTCTGGAAGACTTCCAAAGGTTGGGGGGAAGTCTTACAGGAAACCTTTCCAAAACATATTTAGGACTTGTTCTTCCTGTGCAGATAAAACCCTCAGATGTGTTTTAATACAGACTAACTGAAACTGGAAAACTAATATTTGATTTGGGGCATATTAGTTTTTAATTAAGAGGTAGAAATTTGATAGTTATTTTTCCTATTAGAATTTGCATCAAGAGTTTTACTTCATTGTTACTTCCTTACCTCTTTCAGTGTGCTCCAGATGTGCTAATGATTTATCTCAGTATAAATGTTTATTTGATCAAATGAGTATGTATGGCATTCTGAGACTTATCGGATTATTGGATGGAAGTGAATGTAGTATTTGCCTTCCATGAATTTTTCCTGTGTGGCTTTGATTTGAAAATGTCTGTTCTTGGGTTACAAAATAATCCAGAAGACCTATACATAAAAGATAGATATGGCTTTAACTCTTTCTCAGATATAGGCTTAGTTTTTTCCAATGTTCTGGAGTCTAATTGCATATTTTATTAATCTAATTATGTCTTGTGTGCCTATTGATATACCACATAAATGGAATCCATTCTTAAAATACCTCAAATTCACAGAATTAGAATTTGGTATCAGTTCAATGTCTAAAGTGATTTCCTCTAATTAACTTTAAATTTCTTTCTGTTTTTCTTCTTCCAGGGAGCATACAGCTGACTTCTGATCTTTCATTACTAACATTCTTAAATTATCTATTCTTTCATTGATCTCTTGGAAAACCCAACCATCCCTGTTTAACAGGTATTGCTTTGGGGGAAGCAAGGAGTAGAGATGAACAAAAACAGTCAAGGCAAAAAGGTACCATCAACATAGATACTGACATTTACAATATACCCATCATTATTTGAAATATGTTATTAAGAGGTTACTATCTAATTTGGTTTGCTAGTTACATGGTTTTCATATACTATCATTATTATTAAACTTTCTCTTGTTTATAAACTACATTGAAATACCGCTTAACAAGGAGAGAAGCAAAGATAGGTGATTATTGCTGTTAGGACGTAACTAAATAAACATGCTGACATGCTGGCTTCAAGTTTACATGACATCTTTCACACTACTCTTTCACATATTAGGAAATATTCTGATTTTAATGAGACAAAAGTAGAAATTAATACAATCAAATCAGATAGTAGTTGTTAGTCCAGAGGGACATACAGATGATTTCAGGAATGCTGATGGTGTGGCTAACCTCATGTGTGCATTCAAAATAGGCTTAAAAATAGTGTTATCATAGCCAAAAATGGAGGCAGAGTGGAGAATGATAAGTAATTTAAGGTCTGTGTGTCTTCTTCTTTTCTTCTCCTCACAGTCTTATTACTCCCTGACTGCCACAGAAGGTAAATATTAGTGTTTCTACTCTTTCAGTTACAATGCTGAAAAAACGAATGCTTACATCAGTGAAATGAAAGTCACCACTCCTAAGGAGGGTAAATATTAACTTTTCCCAGCTTTGAGGAGTTAAGTCTTCCTATGCTATACGTCTAAGTAGTTTACCATGTTAAAATTAATTTTTGTCAGACGTGCAACCCATGGAGTACCAAGGTTTGTTTCATACATGTAGCCGAGGATTGACCTGGATTCAGAAGGTCTAGTGGAGCTCAGGAGGTAAGAAGCTCATTTTTTGTTTTCATTGTCACTATATTACATGCTCCATCTAACAGTATGCATTGTGATACCAAAATGGACATGTATAAAACATGAAAAAAACAAATTATTCAGGATTTAATTGAAGTTTTAATCAATCAAGGCAAGAAATTAGATTTAAAGGTTTAAAAAATGAGATTTAATAAGCAGACATTTCAGTCAATGCCAAAGTATTCATCCTTGTATGTACAGAGAGAGAAAATTCATATATATATATAATCTATAAAAGAGAACAAAAATATTCTGAACTGTTTTATAAATAGCTAAAATCCAAGAAGATAAAAATCTATACTTTCTTGTATGATATGCAACGTATTCGGTTACATATATAAATGAGAAAAAGTAAAAGCTTAACTCCTTATTGGTACATTTGTGTTCTAGATTCCTGAACTGAATTCCTGGTCTGAAGAATTCAAGATGTAAATAAGTAGATCCTTACGACAGTGAAAAGAATTATACAAAGCAAGTCAGGTCCACCAAAATATGCTTGGAGTATGTAGATGAGAACTATCCAAAGGAAAAAACTGGCCCCTATTACTACATAATCAGAAATCTTCAGAGCACTGTGTTTATTCTACTGAAAAAATACTAATATTAGTGTTTCTAGAATCAAAATAGGATGGTAACATCTTCCCACACCAGATTTACTTGTCCATCTCTTTGTTATTAGGATGTGAATGTTTGAACACTGTCACTGCTCTGGATAAACACTAATATTTTTTCACAAAAATTACTCTCTTTAAAATTTTTTATATTTAAGAAAAGCCAAAAATAATTAGCATAAATCAATGATTTATCTCTTTGATGATGTAAAAGGTGATTGGTTGTATTGCTGAAAATGAATCCCTTGGGATGCTGTAATCTTCATAACTTCTCCGTTTAGAGTATCGTCTTCAATTATTGTTATCAGTCCCTCAGCAATTATTGACGGGCTGAAAAAAAAAAATTGTTATTTCAGAATCATGATACATAGAACATGTGAAAAGGACAAATAAAGAAACTCAATTTAAATATAAATACTCTGAAAATTAACCAAACTGGTATTTGAACAAATTTATTTACAAGAAAATCAGAGGTGATATGAGTGTTTCAGGAAAGAAATTCAATCTCCTCAATCAGGACATACAGTGTAAAGCAGCAACTTTACAAATTATCATTTGTTAACTCTAGATATTGCTAAATCCCTGTGGACATCCAGGAGCCACTGGGTTTCCTATCAGAGTTTTCTCTGTCAGGACAATGAACAGAAGTAATCCTTACACAATCCTCTGCAGCTCTTTGGAGTTAATTTATCCTGTTTCTGTAGCAGGATTGACACACAAATCAGTGTAAGGAGAATTTTGTTACATGCGCTTTGCTGTGGTCAACAGGTGCAATAAATTTTGCATATGAAAAAGTGTGGGTGAAACAACACTGTCATACAGTTTCCTTGTGCAGAAGTATCTAAGCAGCTGATTTTTACAATACCAAGAAAGTATTAAAAAAATATCACTTTATGCTTGTCTTGTTCTCACACTCTTTCTTATCTGTCTGCTTTTGACCTTTGTTGGCAATATCATAGTGGGCTAGGTAACTCATTGATCTGATCCACCATCATTGCTACTGTGCTCTTACGAACTTAGTCCAGTTTTTGTCAGTTCTTGGTCTGATTTCTACCTTGGTTCACTTGCAAATTTTGTGGAAGTTCAATACAAATAATATGCCCTGTATCTCACAGCAAGTTTGATTAAACAGACATATGGAAGAACACGAAGGGCTATTCAAAAATAACCCACCATCTTTAACTTGGAAATTTGATTTGCACTTTGCTGGGAAATGGGAATGTATAAAGGGAAATATCACTATGTGGGTGATACTCTTAAAATAGCCTTAGGCATCTGCCATTTGTTCCTTGTGTATAGGAACTTGTATATGATAGACTTTTATCTGAGGCAGCATTTTCCTTTTATTTTAATTTTGCTGAAAGTGCTATTGTGTGTGCTTGTTCTTCATTAATAAAGGGTAAAAAACCACTGTATCTGACATGACTTACTCCATCACACCATAGAACTGCATCATATTTTTGATCTCATCCTTATATGAATAAAATTGTCCCATATTCTCTTCTTTATCTATTGACTGAAGAATTGGTGTGTTGACAAATCCTGGACAAATTGTGTTGAGTCTCACACCGTAGTTTTCCATATTAGCTGCTAACTGGAAAAGAGAAAAATTTAGCCATTCATCATCAACATTTTAAAACAGTATTGTGTAAGTAAATTTTCAAAGAATTAGATTTACCACTAAATATTTCTCAGCTTTACCTAGTAAGCAAATTTGTTTACTACTGATTGTTTCATTTCATCAAATAAGTTTGAAGCACATTTTCTCTAAGTAACCAGACTAAATTACTAGAAAATAAAAAATACTGTTTTGCTGAGAGGACAATTCAAGAAATCAACATTCTTCTTCCCATGCAGTTTTTTTTTTTTTTCTAATATTTTTGTTATTAGTGCTCTTGGCATGTCATTAACAGTATTTTAGGGTGATGATATAACTCTCATAAACAAAACTAAGTAAAAAAAATTCTCCCAAATGAATGCTTCCAATCTTATAAGAACTTTCTTATTAAAAGAAAACTATCTGAAATCAAATCAAAGTTTAAGTCTAATGTACTGACCTCTGTCACATCAACAGAAATAGGATTTGATTTCTACCCCTAGAATGGTAATGCTAAACCTTTCCAGGTGCTCTGTTGTCCCTGCCAAGGGACAAATCTGTCACTGAGCATCTCCACAGATGTGAGATGCTCTTCCCTGTGAGCTCCAGGAAAGAGGCAGGAGTTTTTCAGGAAGCAGTTCAGCTGATGAAAGCAAGCAGCACAAATTGTTCTGGGAACGGTAGGACTCTTCATTTCTGGTGCTACCAACGCATGTGTGTAGCAAAGAAGTCTGATCAGCAGCCAGATATATGTTGAATTCTGGATGAACTTTCTTAATGATGGCACAGAACTTATGAACTATACATGATATATCCTAGAGTAACCATAACTGTTCAACACTGAGTTCTATTTATTTTAATATTTAACAGGAATCCTTTCTGGTATTATGTAAATCACATGTCACTTTCATTATACGGTAGCCTGTCCTTCTGGTCTGGAGAAGAAAAGAACCTGAAGCCCTTAGTATTTTGTATCATACTTGCCCAATGATAGGCTATACTGTTTTTCCTGATAAATACAGTGATTCATTATATTTATTATTCTTTTTCTCCTCATCATTCTCATATTCCATAGAGACAGCATTTGCTCTAGTTTTCTAGCAGACCCTTTATTTTTGAACTTTGATGGTAAAGTTTATATTATCATGAGAAAACAAAAATGGAAAATCAGGTGTCAGGTTCAAGCTGTGGCTGATATGTTATATGCAACACTTATCCATACTAATCTGTTCAGTTTAATCTAAAAAAGAAGTTAAAGCTCAGGGTGTAAAATATAGATAAATTATCCAAATTATAATTTCAGGTGCTTTATTCTGGAAATTATATTGTAAATCTTAAATGAGTAGACTATATTTAAGCTTAGCCTATGGAAGTGTAACCATATTTGCTTCCTCCAAGCTATTTTGTCATACTGCTTGTTAAATTTAACTAGAAAGTTTTGGAGTTAGAGGCTAAGACTTACTATATGGTCATAAAACATCTAACATGTCCCATCCTGAATGCATTTTCAGCATATTAAGAGTTGGTAAGAATTAATAATGGTAAATATTTTTGTGTTCATGTCCACTTTTGTACACTTTAGTGCCTATTTATTATTTAACAAGTCAACAACCTGCCTTAGAAATAAGGAAACCAAAATGTTAAATGATTGGGATGGAGTTACAAAAAATATTTTTAAAGCTTGGATAAGAATTTGACTTTTGGGCTCCTCACACTGTCCTTAAATTACTTTGCAGTATCTTTCTTCCATGCTCCCAAAACCTCAAATTGTCCATTATCAGACACATGCTTTACTTATTCCATCTTTGGATTCCTTTTGTGAAAGAAGGGTAACCTCCACTGCTTCAGCCACTTTGTTTGCTTTAAGAAAATTAGTTCCAGTTGTGTGACAGTACAGAGGGAACATGAGAAACTTAGCATGTTCCCATGGAGCTGCTGATACTATTTTCAAAAACACATACTTACTGCTATTGACCGTGTGAATCCAATTACACCATGCTTTGTAGCACAGTACACAGGTTGGAATGCAGCAGGCATGAGTCCTTTAAAATAAAAAGGTAGCTGAATAAAGATGTTGGATAATCCTGTTTGTGATTACCTTAAACACACATATAGGTTAAGTGATGGATGTATAGAGATATAACAAAATAGATTAGTAAACATTTGCTAATTATATTTTGTAATCTGAAGTAGACTGGGAAAATATATGAGATGGATAAAAACATGAGGAGGCAAAAGAAGAGTAATAAAAAAGTAGAACTTCTAAGAGGAAAACTATCTATGACGTATGACTTATAGAGGACAGGATCTGGAAGAAAACATCCAAGGATGAGATTTTTGAGCCTTCTTCTATGAATCTGTAAAGTATTTAAAGTACGTAAAGTATTTTAGATAAGCTTTGATTGCTGGCACCCTAGCTGCTGATATGTAAACTGGACACCTGCAATCATTTACAGTGATTTCATGGAGGAAGTGTGAGAAAGGTAAGGGAAATAGCAAAGTCCTTTTTGACTACTGTAACTGATTTAATATTATCTTTGTAATGTATTAAAACATAAATACAATGTTTAACTTAAATCCCTTGCTTATGCTGTTTCTGTGGAATAGTAACAAAACTCAGCCTCAGATAAAACTTTTCCCCTAGCCCTAATGTGAGAGATAAGAATGTGTGATGTACAGCTGACTGAAGTGAAGTCAGCCAGTACATCTGCTCATGCAATGTTGTTACTGCTTATTTATTTGACGATGTGGTTAGTACTATAACTTGTATATTAGTTTTTGATCAAAGGAGCAACTATCAACAAAGTAATTCATACCTGATGCACCATCTGAGACACTGCAAAAATTATTTTACTTTCAATACTACTATGGTAATATTTCATAGGTGATAGGGTTTTTTTAAAGAGCTTTAAATGAAATAGAGGAAGCCATTTTTCAATAAGCAAATGAAAAAAGCACTAAGAACTGAACACAGGATCTCAGTACAGAAAGAGTATAGAGATAAGTGAGTAAACATTGAATGGTATGATAAGATGAAGACCTCAGATAGTGAGCAGAAAGAAATGAAAGCAGAGGTGTGGATAGGGAAGTTTTTTGAAATATTTCCTAGATTGAATTAGACTGGCTGAAAAGTATTTCATGGTATGGTACATCCTACAGTGGGCCTTGTTCTGGAATGAAAAGCCAGGATGAAGATTTATAGAAGGGAACAGGAAAAAGAGGTAACAATCCTGGGTAATACGATTACTATCTTCTGTAAGGAAAAGGAGAAGCAAAATAAAAAATGACTGCTACCACTGTGGGCATTTATGGTGGGATTAGGAGAGCATAAAGTCACTATTTATAGCAGAGAAAGAAGAGAGAACAGAGGTTTTAGAGGAAAATTAAGAACTTAATTCTAATAAGACTGAGTTTGATGTCAAAAAGCCAGTCAAGAAGATATGACAGAGCATGAGTGTATATACAGTTCTACCCACTGTGCCAACAATTTCCATTATACAACAACAACTGAACAGGACCACATGGATGCTGTAGTTCCAACTGAAAGCTAGGGTCTTGTGAATAGCAAACCATAGCCCATCCTAAAGTTAGAGGATAAAATTTGTATGTGTTCCTCAATGTGGTATTGTAAAACTGGATACTGATTTTAATGTGTTAAGGTTTTATTCTAATGGAAATCATCCCAATTAGTATCTCAGATATGTTTTTTCACTCTTCATATTTCATATCTTTAAGTGATATAATCAAGAAAGGGTGTGACCTCTCTCAGTGGAGACGAAGAATACATCACCTAGCTTTATGTATGGATTTGCCTGAAAAATTATATGTGCCAGAGACTTGCACAGGGTCTTTGGTCTGGAATCCATTGTGTTTGAAGAAAAAAACTTTCTAAAATGGCATAAAGCTCGAATTACAATCCTGACACTGTTAAGGTTTTACCTTGGTTTAAATGCTATTTATTATGTTATTATTGGTGATCTGGTGAGAGCAACACTGTTATTAGCAGTGTTCAGTGGTGGGAAATGAAGAACGTAACCTTGTGGCTGGTTGTTCTCTTAAACTTGTATTTATCTTCTTAGCTTGGATTAATGTGTTATGCTTCTGATTGAGAACTTGTTTTATGAAAAGTGGTTTTTGTCTTGTCTCCTCTGGGTTGTGATCACAGCACAGGCTTAATATTCCTCTGGTGACTTTTGGTGATCATCACCATTCTTCAAATAATCGTAAACTTTGGAATATTAATACATTAGAAATATTATTATTATTTTTTTTTTAACTCCTGAGTAGTTTTACATGTTTTAAAGAAAAAAAAGAAAACAAAACCAAAATGCAAACAATCCCAGTGAGGCTGCAGCTAACAGACATACAGAAGACAAAATCTACTGGGAAACAGAGAGGATAAATTTTATTTTATTTTTTAAACTTAGTAAGACAAATTACTTATTACTTGAGAGGGAAGAGAAACAAAGTCAAGAAATAAACAAAGGAAGGGCACAGCTCACAATAATGAAGTGCAATAAGGTTCAAAGACTTATTTAAATATCAAAAGACAGCAGGAATAATTAGGACAGAGGGGAGGAACAAATAACTCTTTTTTTGAATCAAAGCATTAAACCCAGTTCTTTTCTAACTAAAATTATTTTTGCTGAAGTGGAGAACTGAGAACAAATCAATTGACTCCCTTTCAGGTAAAGCAGCAACAATGAAGACTAATCCTAACATCCCTCACCCAGACCAATGACAATCCTGTCTTCACTTTTGTTCCTCATTTCAGTACTAAGAACCACCGTGTGGGATTTCCAGCTATGAGCCACTGCCCTGTCCCAGGAAGAGCTGAACCTCTGTCTGTCAGCGGTGTGTCCTAGGGACTCCACTAGCAAGTATTTTGGGATGAGCTGCTGGGTGACACTGAGCCTGCTCTGCCAGAATATTTATACAACCAGTGAGCAAAGATGTGTTCATAGCATATTAGTTAGGGCATTCATTTGTTAGAAAATCTGGATTGTATTGTTGCTCCCATGAATATTTAATTATCTGATACAAAGTGATATCACAGTGAAGCAGACTGGAGAACATTATGCACAAAATAATGGTGGGAGGAAGAGGCAGGTGTTCAAATGGATGGTGTTGGGGCAATATAGTCCTGGAAAGTGATACACGTGGCTCTCAATCTCTCTTTGAAAAGGGAAGCACCTATGCCTAGATTTTCCTCACTCTGGAGGTTGCTACATCACTGAACTGTTGCATGAAAGGGGACAGGGAACTTCCTTCTCCCCTCAAATGATCTTCATTAAAAACTAGTTGGTGAATTGCAAATGATTTCATGATGACTGAATATGCTCTTTGTTTTACTAAAACCAATTCAAGCAGACCAGCAGGAATCCTGTGCACCAGTGTTAACTGTGCTCTATTTTATTTTTCTCATTTCCTGACAGGCTGACAGAGACAGCCCTTGCCCTTGGTTGTACTCCAGTCCCCTTATTGTAGTGTCAAGACCACTCTACCGTTTGAGACATGGTGTCAGGCGTCTCACTATAAGTGCTTATTTGTCACGGTCAATAGTTTCAATATACATATCTTGATAAATTGGTATTGGAGATGGAGGATTGTATCAACAAGCTTGAATTGTATCAGAAAGCTCTGTTGAAACTGGTATTTCCTTTCAGTCCACTGAAGAGCTTTGATGAATACAGAATTAAGCATTTTTCCCCAAGTATGCTTTCCCACTGAACATATTGCCCTCAGAGATCTGAACAAGTCTTTCTTTCTTTGAATCAAGATTTATTAGCTTTTAGATCACCTTTCTGTCCCCTATTTGATCCATGGGTGCACTGTTATGCAGCTTGAGACAAATGTAATTTCTGTTTGATACTTTAAGCTTTATTAATTCTTGAAAGAGGGTACTTCATGTTTGGATGAGTGTGGCACAGAGAACAAAGAGCCATAGTCTGTTTTCTAACATGGCTGTTGATCTCATGGGTGCTTTGGGTTCATCAGAAAGCACTGCTTCTGAACTATGATTATGCAGTGATTAAGCATCTCTATTTCCAGTTATACTTTAGACAAATATATTCACTGTTAAAACATTTAAATATACCATTAAAATATTAAAATTTTCTCTCACTAATGTGATAATCACAATATTGTGTGTCATCCCAAAATTCTAAATATTTCACTGTTTATCAGAGAGATATATGAAAATGCTGAAAGGTAAGTTTTGGAAAACTGATGGAACCTATTTAAAAGTAAATGAAAATTATGCTTCCCTATGTGCTGGAAAGTATTGCAAAAGCAATTTGTTTTCCTTGCTGTATTAGGTTTCTTTTATAAAATACACTTATCAAAGTCTATTGCAAAACATAGAATACTTATAAATAAATAACATCACAAGATTTAGCCATATTTATTTAAATTAAATGTCTTTCCAAACCACATTACAGAAATCGCCTTTGTTGCCCTTAGGCTAAAGGCTGAATAAACACTATGGAATATGCTTACAATGCTCTTTGAAGGCCAAAGCCTCTTTTTAAGAAGCGGATATATGTAACTAGAGAAATGAGCTAGGGACATGATGGTCCTACGGGGTGATGACAGGGTTGATTCAAGAGTTTTATATAATACCCTATTCTTAAGAATAGGGAGAGGTACAAGACCGCCTTCATTATGTCAGTTATACCGCTGTGATCTGTATCAAAACAAAGGAGGCACAGAAATCCTAGCAAAAATTCTAAGCTGTGTCATTTCTAGGAAAATTTTTAACAGTGAACTGCAGTATCAAGGGAATAGTTTCTAAATTTTCTGACCTCATTCCTGTGGATACTGCTCAGCATGCTCCTTTTTACAAAGGGTAGGGACCAGAATCTCTTTCATGATGTTGAAATGAAGGCCCCAGTTGTGCAGCTGTTTACATCCTTTCTCCCCTGTATCACTGTGATAAAGTCTTGCCATTGACTCAATGATGTCAATCATATCCTTAGCTTTGTTCTTGTAATATATATAGGATCAGATCCTATAGAAGCCTTTTTGCTGTGAAGGCTACTTTAAGTACTTATTTTGGCTGAAGTTTTCTATAGGAGGAGGAGAAAGTGGCTGCTTGTGGAGCCTGAGTGCTTGAAGTTGAGTGCGATCAAACTGCTGATATTGTAGTACAACAGAGAGGTATCCAGATACAGTACACATAGAACAACCTCTCATAAAAAGCTAGCATGATCCAATGCTAAATATTTTACTAGTTTTTAAGCCCTCTATGAATACCTTGATTTCTATTTTTTTTTAATCTACTAGAATCCAGACAGATACAAATTCAGTTTTAAAGAATACCTTCTTGAAAGTATGAAGGCTATAAAAACAAAAGTGCACGCACACACATGAATTCCCTTTCCCGCTTTACTTAATGAAAGTGTATAGGTATCAGCCAACAAAATGTAAGAGACAATGTTAAATTTAATCATGCAAATGATCTCAGGAGTTAAATGTAGTTTTGTATGCTTTTTTCTGTTGCTTATATCTATTCTGTTAAACAAAATTAAAATTAATGTATGTAGTTTCCCACAGAATAAATTTTAGGCCATTTTACTCTTTAAATTTGAAATTAAGTCTTTTATAATGCAAAAACCTGCAGTCTTTGACATTATCTTTTATGAGGGCAAGTTGGCAGTAAAACACATTTCCCATTATCTCAGTTGTTTAGTGGCATTATTCCTCTTGATATGAATGCACAAATCCCATAAAATTAAGAAAGTTTTATAGCTTGGAGATGCAGTGGGTTAGTAGTTGGGAGTTTGCTGCATGTGCTCACATATTTCTTTCCTTCTCTTACTTAGTCCTGTCTTGTGGAGACACTAAAGAAAGGAAGATTCAATACTGAAAAGACAGGGTGGGTGCTCTGGCTTTCATCCAGCTGAATGAACACTTTAAACATTTACTTCATAGGGAGCATTTAAATAGTTCCATGGGTGTTTGGAAATTTAAAACAGTAAGGCTTTATTCTGTCCCTAGTTCATGTAATTGACAAAATTCCCATGGTGAAGGACTGGAAACTAATCAGTGTGTAAAACAAATATTATTGAATGTTATATAAGCACTAAATATAACTCTTCTCACTGCTCAGCAAGACACAAGACTATTTGCTGTCTGCAAAGCATATCTGATAAAATCTTACAGAGCACTTGGACAGGGGTGTATCAAAACCACTCAGAAGTTTAATGATCAACAGAAACTAGCTCTGAGAAAACACAAGAGAATGTTATATGAGCCAATGGCAGTTTGCCTTTTATATATGGAATAAACTGCAGGACTTGGACCTTCAGACTGGAAAGGAGAATTAGAGTTACAAAATACAAATAATAATAAATAAATAAATGATAAAACTTTGGGTATGTCAGTTTTTGTAATGGGCTTTTCCTTATGACCTTGGGAACAATTGCTAAATACAAGCCATGTAAAAGCAAACAAAACAGAGAACACTTTGATTTTGACAGATATTATGGCATAATGTTAATGATAAGAAAGTAAACAAATAAATGCAAATTTTAATCAAATATTAAACAGCACTTTTAGGCTCTTAAATTGAGAACAGCCAAGCTGTTAGGTCATAAAATCATTTTGTATTCATTTGAGACTAGTTAGAAAAGGATTCAAACCACTTGCTACCTCTGCCCTTTCTTAAGCACTGCATGCTGTGAAAATGTTTAATCTTTTACTTGTGTTCATGAACTCTTGTCCTGCAATAGCAATTTCCTTTGGGTTAATTTGGTCCCAATACAATGTCCATTTGAGCAAACGGAGATAAACTTACTGACATCAGCGGGCAATGTGTTAGGCAGTATTGCAAGAGCTGACTTACAGGTACATGGAGACTTTTAATAAAGAACTCCTCACCAGTATGGGATATGTGCATGTATTAAGTCAGATCCTCAAGATCCACATGCATTATATCAACAGGGTGAACTGGACTTCCCATCACAAGAGCCAAGGTTTACAGAAGAATTTAATAGTACTCAGAACTTTCACACCTATCCACAATGAGGAACTATGGCTACTGCCATCTTACTAGTTTTTCATTCTTAAAACACTTAGAAATACCCTGGAATAAAATTACTATCATTTGGTATTCTGCATGGATATGAAAGAAAGCACTGACAACCCAAATGTAGTATGTAGTATGTGTATTATTTTTCCCAGACAGTATGACAGTAGCAAGAGAGAACAAACTCACCAAACAAACAAGAGAGAATGCAAATACTTCCCCACAAATTTTCTGAGAAGAGTGTCAGGTAACATTATTTACCATTTCTCCTTCAGTTGTGCTTTTTTGCTGTAAGCTCAGCCACTGCAACATTGAGTGTACCTACAGGAAAAGGTGCAGAATTGTGCCTCACAACTGAGCAGCAATACCTCTGACTTACAAGCCATATAATTCTGTTTTTATGCCATTAAATTGAAATAGAGCTATAGCATAGATAAGTAGTGAGCAGACAATGTGCTTGCTTAAGCTCAATGAAACATGAGCATTAATTTTATGGCTTCTCAAGCAGAGGTAGATCATATCTGAGAGGACTTGGAATATAGAGTTGGTGTGTGACAATCTTCATTAATAAAGTAGATACAGTCTAAACTTAAATATTCCTACAGCTGTGCTCCTATGGAGTTGAATGTAGGACCTGATACTGCTTCCTCGCTTTCTGTGACAAAAGATGATCTTCTTTTCCATATTTGATGCCCAATAAATACTCTATAATATAACAAATAATCAGATTTAAAGTAAACCTAAATTCAGACTAGGTCTATAAATTAGACTTTGGTTTTTACACACAGTGTGGTGTATGTAACATTTTCATTCAGCAGTGTTATTGAATAGTGTTGAATAAGCCTAATGAATTGAGGCTAGTTAGGTCTTCTTCAATGTGTGGCAGTATTGAAACCTATTTACTTCATGCTCGAGATTATTAAATATGAGACGGATAGGTTAGGAAAATTACTGATTTTTTCATTGAACTGAGTTTAAAAAACCAAATGAAAGTAATGGTCCTGTGATATTACTCCTGTTCCTGTGTTGAAAACCAGATCAAAGTGGGAATAAACAGGAAAGAGCCATAAGAAAGAAGAAAAAGTATGACTGATCAGTCCAATCCATTAATTTTAGAAGCAAACCAGTGAGTAGAAAGTGTTTATGCACAAAATATTCTCACCTGCCAAGGATGAGATATTAATGATTACTCCTCCATCGCCTCCATTTCCTTTTCTCATGTATTCTAGGCCAAGGTAAGTTCCTCTAATCACAGATGTCTGATAGAGGGGAGAAAAAGGTTAATTGTATTCAAAATATATTTTTTTTATGCCCCTAAAATATGAAACTTGCTTTTGTTGTGGTTTCTAGAACCTGTATTGCTTTACAAACTATTTTATTTACACTTTGAAGATTAGAAACACAGAAGACATTCCACAGGAATGCAGCTCAATAACTTCAGAAGCACAATGGCAATGGATAGAAATAATAGCAGCTAAATTATTTTTCTTATTAAGATATCAATAAACAAACTAAAATGTTACAATGTGAAATAATAGCTGTGAAGGAAATGAAATAAAGAATAAGTAAATAATTTATAGATGAAACACATACTTTAAGGATATGTGGTGGATGAACTGATCCAAATCCCAAATGTACAGACTGAATCTGAAAATAACACTAATGCTTACAACTCCATTTGGCTCAAGGCATGAGAAATTCACACTTTTTAGGATTAATTTATGTGATATATTTCTGGTCCCAGGATATTAAAAATTTGTACTCTTTTCTGACTGAAGTTACTGGAGTTTTACCATTCCTCTCAAGTGTAAGATAGCCCAAACAAACAAATACAGATAAGGTAAAAAAGCACTAAGAAATATGAAATGTTGCTAGCATAATAGTAGCATGTGATTTTTTTTTTATTTGTTTTTTTAAAGAAGGAAATTTGATGAAGAAAATTTTACTGAGACCTGTATAATCTTTATTCCTTAACATCTGTTATTGATACCTACCAAAGTCAGATATTCTGCTGGGATTCCTCTCACCAAACTTCAGACATTTAAATTGAGATGCCTAAAGATACACCAAGCCTGGGGTTATCAGCCCCCTGAAGGAATCAAGACAGAGAGTCTCTGATAGAGAGTAAGTCGCTTTATATTTTAACAAGTTATAATAGAAAGGCAGCAGACACTGCTCCTAGTGGAAGGTACTAACTTCAGTAAAATGTTGCAATATTACTGCATCAGTGATGAATTTCACAATTATTTACTGATTTTTTTTTAGATCTACCCATAATCAGTTCACATCTGGTCTACAATTTTTACTTAAAATGAACAAATGCCTAACTCTGCATATGCCCAAATCCTAATGAATAGTGACTTGTTGTCTTGGAAAGAAAAAGCATTTAAAATCAGAACATTACATATTTTTCTACCATGATCTAAATACCCAAACCAAAACTGGAATAATTTTAAGATGGGTATTACATTTCATTTTTATTAGCTGATATTTTTAGACATACATGTTATAAAACATAAAGTAAAATTTCTAATTCAATTTCAGTTATCCTTCATGCTTGTTGGTTTTAACAGGAATCAGATTTGGAAGACTGCATTTCCTGCTTTATTAACATTGCTTGTTCATTTTCCAAGTAATATGAAGTCAAGTTGCCCATTGACAGAGATAAAAGAACTTGAAATGTCATTACCAAGTTTGCTTTGGAATTTTGATAATGAATCAGCTCTTTTCATTTTCTACAGTTGCAGTACTTTATGTGATATTTTCTACCATTAATAGATTTTCAATGTGCCTATTTCCTGGAAAAGTGTAAAAAATCACAAAATATGAGTATTTCAAAAATCTGAAATAACATTTTACATTTTTCTTTAAAAAAATTCCCATAAACCCCTTCTTCTGTTTCTCTCCTAGACAGTTTTGTTTCAGGTAACATGCTTTTAAAAATGTTTTGATTAATATCAAAAGAATGTTATTAATTAAATGTTTTAACAGAAGCTTTCTAAAGAACTATCTTCAGTGGCTTGAAAAATATCAAACTAAATCTGATTTTTCTTGTATGTCCTGGAAAAAAGCAGAGCCCTTATAAGTGTAATCTAGTGTTGTTTAATGTTGATTGTCACATGTAAGTTCTAAAGTATTTATTGAAAAACAAGTTCATTAATGCCTGGTAGTGTTGCTGTAAATTATACTTATTCTGAACATAAATTAATTGGCAGCTCAACTGAAATTAGACTTGGATTTAAGGGTAGGTGGTGTTTTTTAATATATGCAGATGATAGGCTGTACACAAGACATTTTAAGAAGGAAGGGGTTAATGTTATCTATGGAGAGCAGGTGCAGGCCCTATCAAGCCCTGGAGCTGTGGCTCAGCCTGCTGAACAGAAAAAGAGAATTAAATGTAGGATGATTAGAGGAAATAAATCAGCTTGGAGAAGGAAGTACCTTGGGGCTCCTTAAGGATTTTTCTGTTCCTCCAGCCTTCTCATTTAAAGCGATAATAGAGTTAGATGAGACCTCAGCCAAACCACAATTACAAGACAAGGAAAAAGCGGGTAGCTTGACTCTCCTATCAAAATCACTGTACTGCTCGTTTTGCTCTCTAGACTCCATTAACTTAACATTTCTTCAAGTGGTTGGGGAAGCCTTCTCCTTTTATGTAGGTATTGTGACAGGCTGTCTTCAGAATAAACGCAGACTTTCATTTGGATAGTGCCCTTACACCTGCTGTTATCCTTGCAAAAACCTTCTCATCAAGTGTGGTTGATCTCAGGTGACATGGCTATTTCTGATGTTCGGGCTGGTAACATAATTATTCTGGAGATAAACTCCGAACCAAATGTACAGGGTGAGAAGAACCTAGCTGTCTGCACACTCTGCAGATGGCATTTCAGATGAAAGGCATTGTGTGAAAGATCTCCCATTCTCTTGTCAGAATTCCCCTCTCCCTGGGAGAGAAAGTCCTCTCAATAGTTCTTCAAGGAAGAACAGCAGTGGCTGAATTTACTGGAGTACAAAAGTCATACAATGTTTGCTTAGAAGTCTTAGTGCCACTTTCCAGTTGAGCCTGTTCATCCAGCTGAGTTGATAAAGTGAACCTGGGTCTTGTATCTGGGCACCAAACTCTCAAATGGGAAAGAGGTTTTCCAAAGGACCATAGTCTTTGGACTATTGTTTTCCAAAGAACAATAGCATATTGGGGTTTTTTTGCTATGAAACTATTTTTGCAAGTGCACTAATTGCAGCCTCAGGCCTCCTCTCATATAAAATGTGACTTTAGATTCCTATTTGTTGTCCGAATACTTAGTCTGAATTCTAGAAGAAAACTCATCAGCTATTATTTAACTATACCATGTAACACACAATAGAAGGTAAGACAGGCAAAGAATGCTGTATTTCGTGCCACTCAGTTTCCTGGGTTTGGGATATGATGAAAAATGCCTGTAATTTGCCTTTCAATAAACTGAAAGAAACTAAAGGTGTCTTCAGACTGCGTAGTTCTCCATGTATACTTTTAAGAATAATAATTTAATCTCATGCTTTTAACCAACAATAATTTATGGCTTGTCTATTACAAATAGAAATTATGGGAAAGTTAAATTTAAAATTACCTAACTAAAAAAAAAATTGTCTGACTTGTTTTAAGATGAAAATATGCTAGGAGACTTAACTTTCTACAAGAAAGCATGTGGCATTTTAGAGTTGAAGTTCTTACAATTCCTTTTTATTACAATTGTATTTAGCTGCATGGGTGTTGTCCATAAACATGTCAAGAACAAAGAGTAGGAAAGGAGTCAAATTTGCAATTAAATGCAGCTAAAGTGAAAATTGGGACAGCTGACTTTCACTTAAATTTTTTGCTGCTGGCTACTGAAAACTGGTATCATTAAAATCAGAAAACAACTAAGCAGCTGTCCTCCTAGCTGTTGAAAAGCATGTGATACTGCTGGTTTTTTCTTACCAAAACAAGGTGTTTTACTGTAGCACATAATGAAGATGGACATCAAGGTGCACTACAGATCTGAGGGTCCTCCCAAGAGAGGCAATTTTACTCCTCAACTGCCAATAGGAAATTTAGGATTCTTTACGATTAGGTTATTATGGTGAGTGTGGGAATACTTCCTAGTATTAGCTTCCATAATTTACAGATTTAAATTAGAAGAGATCAGACATTCTGAAGCACCATACAGTAACAAACCCAAAACTTAGTATCTAACACAGCATGGTAAACTTCGCAAAATAATTGTGCAAATACTCAAAACATTTGCAGTTGCTTTTGGAAGTATCATATCAGTAATCGGTAACTTATTTAACAAATCATTAAATGTCAATTTAGGTATCAGTGTCAAAATCAGAAACAAAACTTACAAAATATATGACTCAACATGTCTATCTATCCCATGGCTGTAAAGTTTTAATTGCATTGTTCTAAAAGAAATCACATATTGAAACTCATTCAAGTAAGACTCCAAGTCTTCAATAGAGACCTAATGAATTTTTTTCTGGTGTTAGGAACCAATGTTAGCCAGTGTTGTACAATGTTCTTGTATTCCAACATTACATCTGTAAATCAATTTTCATACTTTGCATTTCATTTTAGCTTGTTCTATATTAAAAAAAAAAAAAAAAAAAAAAAAAAAAGTGTTCTTCAGTGATGGTGCCCAGAACATCATTAATTATCATCCTTTGCAAGTGACAGTTGCTTTGAAAATAATTTAGTACTCGGTGTTTTTTTCTAGTGTTTCAAGGCAGGTGTTCCAAGTGACATAGTTTCTTAATCGTATTTAGTAGTATTTCCCTTACCACGTCTTGTCTGATTCTTCTGTTTTATCCTTATGCATGCTAATACTTTATGCTGAGAAACTATATCTTCATTCCTTCAGTGCTGAAGATGACTACCCCATTTTTATCAAGGTGAAAAGGCAATATTAATCCCTTTGAGAGAACAAAATGGTAATCAGTAATCAGTCCTAGAATTTTATGTAGGTTTCTGAGCTAACCTAGTTGAAAGAGCCATTGACTTGTGGTTTCATAAAGCAGGTTAGCACAGAGCTGGAATCTGACCCAAGATCATTTGCCTTTCATACTGTGATGTTGTAAATTGATGGCTATCTATAAGGAAACATTTCAAAGTAATTTATGAACTGCGTAAAACAAACTTCAAAAGTCTTAAACTAAGTGCTGCTAGTGATATCCATGGAAAATTTTAACATTTTGCTGCTAGACAGGGAGGTGGGACTGATTTTGTTTTTAACGTAGATTT